CCACCGCAGCCTCACTGCTGGGCTCCGGTGATCCCTCCGCCTCAGCTTCCAAGTAGCTGGAATTATAGGCATGCGCTACCACACCCGGCTGATTTTTTGATTTATTGTAGAGATGAGGTCTCGCTGCCCAGGCGGGTCTTGAACCCGCGGGCTCAGGCAATCCACTCACCTCAGCCTCCCAAAGGCGCAGGATTACAGGCTGAGCCACCGAGCCTGGCTTCTTCCTTCCCTTCTATTTCTCCAGAATATTCACCGATACTGCCCCACCTTCCAGGGATCCTCTAAATCTCTTTTGGGGGGCTGGTCCCCCATACCTTGCCTTTACCAGCTTCCAGAGACACCCACCTTCCTTGCTTTTTGGCCCCTTGCCTTCATCTTCAAAGCCAGCAAGATAGCATCTATCTGCCCCTGGTGCCATGGTCACAGCTCTTCCTCTGATCTCAGTCAGAAAAGGTTCCTCTTTTAAGGACTCATCTGATTAGCTTGGGCCCACCTGGATAATCTAGAACACTCCATCCCAAGGGTCTTAATTGTATCTGCAAAGTGCCTTTTGCTATGTAAGGCAACATTCACAGGTTCTATTCGGATGTGGCCTTTAGGAGCATTGCTCTGCCCACTACACTGGCCCAGCCCAGGTAGCCACTCACCAGCCTCAAAGCTCCCTCTCAGCCATTCCAGTCTCCCCTAGCCCTGAGTCTAGATTTCCTGAGGGCCTCTGCAGTCCAGCATAGTGCTTACCATCCTGAATTGTAATTGCTTGTTGATTGGTCATATTCCTGCAATAAGCTTTAAGTCCTATGAGAGCAGGGACAGGATTTGTCTTCTCTTCTGTGATATACCTAGCACCTGACACGGAACTTGGTCAAAATATTTGGGGGATAAAGCTCTTCTATGACAACACTTTTCCTTTTTTTGAGTCGGAGTCTCACTCTGTTGCCTAAGCTGGAGTGCAGTGGCACGCTCACAGCCAACGCAGCCTCAACCTGCTGGGTTCAGACAATCCTTCCAACTCCGCCTTCCAAGTAGCTGGAACCACCACGTGCCACCACGCCTGGATTTTTTTTTGTTTAATTGTAGAGATGAGGTCTAGTCAAGTTTCCCAGGCTGGTCTCGAACCCTGAGGCAATCTTCTCAGCTCGGCCTCCCAAAGTGCTGGGATTATAGGGGCAAGACACTGTGCCCGGCCTGCATCACTTTTCATGTTAAATTACACGCTGAGCATGTGGTTGCTCTTCTGCTATCACTGCTTGAAAGCAGAGTCACGTGTGGTTTGTTGTATTCTGCAGGACACCTAGCACCACAGGGTTTGACTCACAGATGGTGCTTGGTACATGTTTGTAGAGTTGAATTGAATGAATAGGGTTCAGACTCATCTCAATGGCATGGCTTTTTTTTTTTTTTGAGTTGGAGACTCACTCTGTCGCCCAGACTGAAGTGCAGTGGCCGTTCCCAGCCACCACAACCTCGACCAGCTGGGCACCGGCGATCCTTCCGCATCAGCCTTCCAAGTAGCTGGAACTACAGGTGTGCACTACCATGCCCGGCTAATTTTTTTTAAATTTTTTTTTTATTGTATAGATGAGGTCTCGCCAAGTTGCCCAGGTGGGTCTCGAACTCGCGGGCTCAGGCAATCCACTCACTTTAGCATCCCAAAGTGCGAGATTACAGGCTGAGCCACCGAGCACGGCTGTCATGGCTTTTAAACAAAGGGCGCAGGGAGGACGTGTGGGAACAAGGTGCCCTGGGTCACATAGGACTACTTGAGAAAAGCTTCTAGAAAAGAAGTGCTTGGGCAGAGGTATCAGAGAGTTGAAGGATGAGGATCAGCAGGGCTGAGGGTGATGACATTCTATGGAGGACAGCTATGAGCAAAGTCAAACGTGGAGACAGCTGCAACCAGAGCTGAGGTGGGGTGTGGGAGTTTAGTCATGGCATCCAAGACTTGGATGCCAGATGGAGGGGTTTGGATTTAGTGTGACAGTGTGCTACCAGAGATTACTGAGCAATGAGTGATGTACTGAAAACAGAATCGGAGGAAGATAGGATGGACTCAGGAGGGCAGAGGAAGGGAATGTATTTCAGGGAACAGAGTGCTAGCTGAGGCTACACACAGGGAGAGTGATGACCGCTGCCGCTGGGGAATCCTGGATAGACTAGATGTGGAAATGGGAGAGCGATGAGTCAATGATAATTTGATGCCACAATCTGGGACCTGAGAATGCAAAATGATAGTGCTATAAGAAAATTGGAAGACCTCCCTTCTGTTTGATGGGGAAGATGGAGAGCTCAGCACTGGGTATCTCTATTGTTGGGTATTAGAGAGTCAATGCAGGTGACAGATCCTTTTCCCCCCATGAGGTAGGCATCTGGTCTCCATGCACCACCCTGCTCACCAAAGCAGCCATGCTCACCTCCAGAGTGAGCTAACATTTCCATTTATACAGCCCCTCTCTTTGTGCTGGATTCTAGGTGCTTTGCACATATAGACGCATGGTACCCTCTCAACAACCCTGAAAGCCAGGTGATATTACCTCCATTTTATAAATGTGGAAACCGAGCCTCCTCCAAAGGATAAGTTAACCTTCAACCCTCCAAATTCACACAACTAGAAAGGGAGAAACCAGTCGGGCTTGGCGGCTCAGTCTGTAATACCACGCCTTTGGGAAGCTGAGGTGAGTAGATTGTCTGAGCCCGCGGGTTCGAGACCCGCCTGGGCAGGCAAGACCTCGTCTCTACAATAAATCAAAAAATTAGCCGGGCATGGTAGCGCGCGCCTGTAATTCCGTCTACTCGGAAAGCTGAGGCGGAAGGATCGCCGGAGCCCAGCAGGTCGAGGCTGCGGTGGCCGGGAGCGGCCCCTGCACTCCGGTCTGGGCGACAGAGTGAGACTCCGACTCAAAAAAAAAAAAAAAATAAAGGAACCAGGATTCGTGCCCTGGTCACTTTAGCTCCAAAGTCCCTGAGCTTTGTATCACACCACAGTGCCTCCTACCCATCGTTCCCCGCCCCCAACCAGGTTTAATTCTACCCAATTCAGTTTGGCAAACATTTCCTGAGCACCCACCAAGCGTAGGGCACTCTACCAGGTGGTAAAGCGGAATAAGACTTAAGTGTAGGAGAGACAAACACAAACTCAACTAGTAAGTGCCTACCACAGTTCACAATGCCTGAGAGGGGCTTAATTACACCTGGACCCAGGCCATAGGCTGGCCCAGTCCACAACCTCAAGTTTGGGCCATATTTATCCACCAATATTTCAAAGCTGAAGGGAATCTTAGAAGCCAACCAACTCATTTTACAGAGAAGGAAGCAAAGGCCCAGAGAGGGAGGTGTCTTTTCCAGGGCAACACAACAGCTTAGTGGCAGGGTCAGGACCAGAGCCCAGGCGTCCTCACTACAGGTCTGGTGACTTGCTTGGTCGGTAAATGTCTGCCTGCCTCTACCTAGCGCGGGAGATTCCACGCCCAGGCGAAGGTGGGTCTTGTTGCCTTGGTGATAGAGAGGTTGGGTTGAGAGGCTGCTGTGGCAGCCAATAGAAGCAGGGGGGCGGGACCAATTGGATTCTGTGTGGCTGCAGCGGGGCTTGCAGGTTTGTGAACGCGGCGTTGGGGGAGGGGTGTGGGGGGTCGCGGGGGCACTGGGGGTTCCCAGTGCGGTCGACCCGAGTCCTCTGGACGCGGTGGGCACTGGCCTTCGCTGTAGTATCTGGGTTCCAGGACTCTGCACCCAAAGTTCTCGTCGGGCCTGAGCGGGGAGGAGCTGCCGGGGCGGGCAGAGGTGGAGATGGCGGAGGGCAGTGGGACGTGATGTGCGGGTCCGAGCTCGGCCTTCGGAAGAACTGGAGGCCTCTGGTGGCGGTGTCTCCAGGAGACCCTTTCTGCCGGGCCCATGAGGTGGCCAACGGAGATCCGGAGATTTAGGGGAGAGGAAAAGCAGGTTTTCCTCCGGGTTTAGCAGGCCCTGGAATCCTGGGGCCCAACCCCCAATTCCATTCCCAGTTCTCAGCAAGATGGTTCAGGGGCCGAGCTGGATGGCTATGGTGTGACCACCTTCCCCTTCTCCGACTCCTCTCTTTTCCAGGTATCCGGTCTTGCTGGCCCAGCAAGCCTGATAAGCATGAAGCTCCTATCTTTGGTGGCTGTGGTCGGGTGCTTGCTGGTGCCCCCAGCTCAAGCCAACAAGGTGAGGGAGGTGAGCCGGCAGCACTTCGTGCACGACGACCGTGCACGAGCACCCTGCCTACAGGGCTTCCTCAGAGGTAGATGCCCCTCAAGCCCTGCTCCTCGCTCACTTATGGGACATACTTTTGAGGGGTATTCTCTCAGGCTCAAGGCTGCAGGTCTCCTTAAGGATAGTGCAGGGAGAACTGACTCCACAGAGCGCAGGCTCAGTCCGGATTGAACAGATCACTGATGGAATTCCGGCAAGGAAGTTGGGAGAAATTATCTAAGTTATTATTATTATCCATACCTTCCTTTGGGGTCAGGAGTGTTTTTGTGTTTAAGATATTTTTGAATTTTGGACTATTTCCATATACATAATGAAATTTCATAGGAATGTGATTCAAGTCTAAACACAAGTATATTTATGATACATATATGTCTTATACAAATAGCCTGAAGGTAATTTTATACCTGGGAGAAACTCAAGAGTATACATATGAAACAAAGTTTGTATGCATTGAACCGTCAGATAGCAAAGGTGTCACTATCTCAGCCACCCATGTGGACAGTCTGTGGTTGTTTGGCATTTTAATTTTTTAGGTGAGAAGAAACATCAGAAGCAGTTGGGGGACCAGGAAGTGGGTCCTATAGGGATGAGGAATCCTCTAGGAATGAGGAGACATTCTCCTGAATGGCTTAATTTTAAAATGTTTCCTCCAGAGTCATCTGCCTCATTCACAGCAGTTTTTTGTCCTGGAAGTCTCGGTTTGATTTTATAAACTGACATGATTTCTTGTTATGAACACACAACGCTCTAGTCCTGTATTTTCACTATGTTGTCTATGGAAACTTTCTGCATCATCATCATGTGCTTAAAAATTTTAGATTTTGGAGCATTTTGAATTTTCAGATTAGGGATGCTCAACTGTAGTGGTGGTTATATCTACCACACTGCTTAGGGAGAATCAAATCACATAACAATGTAAAAATTCTCTGTAGGCGTAAGGTCCTATAACAGATGAAAGTCAATTTCTGTTTTTAAGAAAGGCCCACGTAAATGCTGGAACTCCTGAGTTGAGTTCCATTCTTTGGGGACTGTGTGCCTTGTCCTGGGTTTGACTGGGTCTATCGAATTTGAGATTCCAAAGATCCCCAAGGCTGTGAAGTGAGATTGAGTTTGAGGGTTTGCCTCCATTCCCTTCTCAGAATTCCTAATTGAAATAGGCTGGGCCGTGGCTCATGCCTATAATCCCAGCACTTTGGGAGTTTGAGGTGAGAGGATTGCCTGAGCCTGTGGGTTTGAGACCAGCCTGGGTGACTTGGCAAGACCTCATTTCTTTTTCTTTTTTTTTTTTTGAGTTGGAGTCTCACTCTGTCACCCAGACTAGAGTGCAGGGGCCACA